TGCATGCATGTGTGTGTATGCAACTAACTGTCTGTCTGTACGTATGTATGTACGTATGTATGTACGTATGTATGTACGTATGTATGTACGTATGTATGTATCTATGAATGTATCTATGAATGTACGTAAATATGCATGTATGTGTGTATGCATGCATGTATGTATGTACGTATGTATGTGCGTATGCGTGCATGAATTTATCTATGCGTGCACGCATGCATGCAAGTCTGTATGTATGCGTGTATGTGTGTATGTATGTGTGCCCGCATCGCCACTTATGTCTCCTGGCCGCATCGGGCTCGGCATTCCTCAACCTTTAGGCTTACCTTGATGAGTGCAAATGACACATGTACATGGAATGGCGCGAATGTGTTCACCCAAGCCTCTCTCACGTCGTCCTGACTGTCAAATTCCGGAGAAGTCCTAAGCTGCTTCCATGCAGACAGCTCCGAGCTTTTGGATTGCCCTGCTAGCCATCTAACAGTCCGGGGTAAGACCGCAGTGAGGCTGACATTCTGCGAGCGTTGCTTGTCAAGCTAAACAAACGGTCATTCGGGAAGTCTTCTTGCAGTTGCAAGCAGCGCCCTTTGTGCTTCGACAAGCTTTGGTCGGCTCGGGAGATACCTGAGTGCTGGCAGGGTAAAGAGGGGGATCTCAAAAAGTGCCTCAGGCAGTCAGACAAGCTGCAGTCTCCATGCTTGGTCATCTGTAAGATGCCAATGGAAAAATTTGGCCTCGCAGGACACAACACGCCGTGAGTCTCACCAAAAAGAAGCCTCATCTAGAAAATGGTGGCCGACTTCACGCTCGGGAGTTGTCGCATCTCGGCCTTGTAGGTTGCCATGGCCTTGATGTACTGCCTTTGCATGACTCCCGGTGCGGCTTGGCATGAAAGCATGCTAGCTAAGTGAGAGCAGTGCCCCTGCTTTCCTGCAATCTTCTCCAAGCATAGACTTCTTTGGGTATACCGAAAAAGTCTAGCTGCAGTTCCGTTGCATGCTGTCAAGCTAAGACCCCTTGTGAGGAATGGCACTTGAATAACTCCAAGAGGCTTGACAAAAGGCACCGGCATCCAGTTCCGTACCGCGTCGAGGTGGAGTCCTCGCCAGCAGTGGTGCGGCCAGTCCTGCGAGATTGAAGGAGCTTGCCAAGGATTGCAAGTCGGTGTTGCAGGTTTCAAGAAGGTTCTGCTCTGAGACACTGAGCCAGTAAACGCAGGAAGTACCCGGAGATGCCCGCGCGGGTGCGCATCTCAAGATCCAAGTGCACGCAAGCGTGGCGCTGCAGTGTCCCCACACGAGGCTCGCATGTTGGACCCTACTTTACAGCATGTTGTCCTCGATGGCAGTGCCATTCGCAGCTGGTCTTGCGTGCCGGCACGCTATGTACTGATGTATCCATGCTCTAGGCTCTCTGTGCTTCCCTGCAGGGGCTGCATCGCCGGCTATGGTGTGGCCGCCGGTCTTCGTTTTGTGCAAGGACTTTCCGGACTCTGAGGCGTCGCTGGCAAGCCAGCGAGGAAGAAAACTCTCTTCCATGCGGCCTTACAACAGCTCGCAACTGCTCTTGGTAGTGCAGAGCCGCCCCCTATATTCAGTCCTCCAAGAGAAAATTGGATGGACTTCCATCGCTGGAGAACTTTGCTCCTACAGAGAGCTCAACCACACAAGACATGATGTGGCAAGAGTCGGCCAGGATGCATGTTGTCTCAGAGCTCAGGACTTCATGACACACTGCAGGCAGCAGGAACTTATGTCATCAGGACCTACGCGGAGGTGCTCAAGACGGACTCCGAAACTCTTTGACGGGACATATTCCTAACAGCCACTGCACCGCGGAGCATGGATAATTTGAATTGATAAGCATTTGGGTCATGACGTGCCGGGATAAAGACAAAGCTTGCTGCCATCCTGTGCAGCGCAACGGCAGAGTCCGCTGGCCTTGAAATTGCATCTGCTGGAGAGTGGCAGCGAACCGGAAGGCGCCTTCCGGCCTGAGGAACTTCGGTCCTTTGGTCTCCTCTGAACTTGGATGAGCTACAAAGTATACCTTGTCCGCGATGGGGTTCACGTTCAGCCATGATCAAAGTAGCGAGGTGTCTGCATGTCTTTAACTGCGAGCTGCATCAATAACAAACAACGGCACCGCAATGCACCCTCAACCATGTAACAACCAACGACCCGACCTTTGCCCATTCTAGATTAGATGGAACAGTTCAGAAGCATTTGCCTGGGACAAGGCCGGTGGCTGTGATGTTGCGGTATCGGGATGGTGGGTCAGCAGTTGTGAGATCGGAAGCGTGAGGTACACAGGTGGCTCTCTCGACCGATGGGAAAGGTATGCACAATCACTGGAAAATCCTGAAAACGAAATGTCTTGACACAAACGATGCATCGACGACCTCGTCGCACAAACTGCGGTGCGCCCACGCCACCGGAGCACGAAATGCCACTCTGTGGTGTGGCAGTCCTGGAAATGTTGCTTGGATGCACTTGCAGGGATTCGGTGACGCGGCCAGAGTCAGAGGCTTGATTTGGATTCAGGACCCGGGCATCAGGACCTGAATCCTGAGCCAATCAGCTTCTTACGTACTTGGTGAAAGCGCGCTTCGTCTCTCGCTTGAATGAAGGCACACACTGTAGACCTGCACAGCTTCGCAGCGATTTGGCCTGAACAGATCAAGTGGCTTCTTCATCAGCTTCGCTTGGGCATGTGGTGTCCTCCTGCAGCTCAAGACCAACATGGTTCCTCGCAGGAGCTGGACAGCCGTCTGGATCGCGTGTATTGCTCTGCAATGGTCAAACCCTTCTCCAGAGCCCGGTCTCTGCACACGTGCAAATCAATTCTTAGCGGTTAGCATTTCATTCGAAGAGTTGCTGCAGTGTTGGCACCCCTCTGGGAGGCTTCTCACAGCCCTGCACATTGGCCCGTGCTTGGTTGTGCTGACGGTTGAAAGTACAAGGCAAGGGCTCGTATGAAAGCGTCTCCAAGGCATGCCCTGACATTCTAAGTAGCAAAAAGCACTCGGTTGCCATGTTGAGTCCTCATGATCTCATGTCTTGAACGCCTAGTGCAGCACAGAGCCAGGCCAAGCCGAGTGGCAGGAGCTTATAGCCGACAAGCTCAGCGCAGGACTGCCGTGCCGAGCGAAGGCTGTCCTGAACAGAGACCTGGGTCGAGAGACATCTCAGATTCACAACAACGACAGACTTTCATCATTTGTAAGCTTTTTTGCTCCAGGATTTCCACTCGGAGTCCGCATCCGATTACCAGCCCCACGAGCGAAGCCAAGGCGCCACCACCGAGCCCACAGGGATGGGAATCGTGCCCAGCACAGCGGGGGACACACCAAGGGCGGCTTCGAAGGCATCCAAAGCTGCCCTGGCGTTTTGCAAATTTATTCTCAGTTGCAGGCCTCGTACATATTCGGCAAAACACGAATACAACACACGATGCGGCAGGCGGCCTTTATGAAAATTGGGATGAGATTTTGAGACCAGGGCAATCCAATGCGTTGCACCTCGTTCTCGTCTTGCCTAGTCCTGTTCGAGCGGTCCGCTCGATGTAGCCCAACTCCCCAGTGCTGTCGAACAGTTTCTCTCCCCTGTTCCTACTCTCCAAGCTGTTGCGAGTGGATGCATTGCTCCTTTTTCGCATCCCTCGTCCTTTTCCAGCAGCGCGCTCCTTTTCCTCACATGATGTAGCCCTATTCGCATGATTCCCTAGTCCTTTTCCAGCAGTTTGCTTGCCTTTCTCAGATTGTCGAATCACTTTGGAACGGTTTGCTCTTGTTCCACTCTTCACCGCTGTATCCTTGTTGAGTAATGTGCTCCTTCCTCTCGCATTCTTTGCTCCTGTCCCTTTCCCATGTTTAGCTTTTCTTTCTCATCTTCTATAGGCTTTCGAGCGGTGTGCTTCTCCTTTTCGGTCCTCAACTCTCTTTCGAACGCTTTGCTCCTCCTTCTCATCTTTTCGAACCCGATTCAACCGTGCCTGCTCCTTTCTCACATTCCCTCGTCCCTTTCGCATGCTTTGCTCCGCTCCCTCAACTTCACCAGTCCGTTTCGGGCTTGTCTTTTCTTCTCTAACCATTTTTCTTTAATCCTCTCTGACGGGTCTGCACCTTCGTTTCACATTTTCGAATCCCCGTTCGGGCAATATGTTTCTCTTTTCTAACTTCTCTACTCTCTTTCGCGGGGGTTGGCTCCGTTTTCAACTCCTCTAGTCCGTTTCGAACAGCGTCTCTTCTCTCGTTCGAGCAGTTATCGCCATTATCCTTTTCGAACGATCTGCTCCATTTTCTCGCTCCTTCTTGTCAGGCCCCCTAGTCTCTTTCGATCAGTTTGTTTGCTGTTCTTCGTTTGTCGAATCTCTTTCGAGGGGTTTGCTCATCTCTCGCATCTCGTGCCAGAAGCCAGAACCACATCTCAAAGCTCCCTTGTACTGGCCTATTTCAGAGGCATGCTGTATGCTGACATCAGGGCTGATTTGTGATTGGAACATTTCTTTGGTATGAAGCATCGCAGCAGACCTTTATGCGTGCAGCAATGACGAAGCGAACCAGCTTGTAGTAAATGGACATGAGCACTTCACTCCGTCATAGGTTCCGTGACTTTCAAGGCTGTCGAATCGAACGCTGCGGGTGCCTTTCTTCACCACCGGCTTCCAGTGTGGGCTGCTTCGTTGCCCACCACCACCTGATAGTCCAGGCCCGCTAGACCTTCTTCCCTCTCCTGACTGCCATCCCAGTCACAGGGAGGCGTTTGCACTTTGCAGTGGGCCGGGCTGAGCTTGAGAATGCAAAGCCTTCCGAGCGAGGCAAGGAGGGCACGTCTGCAAAACCCTGCGTGCCAAGGAGGCCTCGAAGTGCTGTGGTCTTGGCACCAGCTTGAACCGCCCAATGCTCGAGGGCTTGGGCAAAAGAGCTCGCTGGAAACGTCGCTGGGCGGAGGTCAGCGCGCTGCTCTCTTCCCAGCCTGCAGGGCGCGGGGCGCAGGCTTACAATGCAATCTTGGAAGCCGCGATCCTGTTGCTTTAAGGGCTCTAGCCCAAACAACGCTGCATGGCGATGCGCGGAGACCTCGCATTTGGTCTTGAGGCATCTGTGGCGGCTTCGCTCCTGCAGGAGCATTTGGTTGTGAAGGCTCCACCGGTGCCCAGCTCAGAAAAGTGTGGCAAATGAGGACCGCCACAGATTTGCATCTCAGTCTCGATTGCCACCCTGAAGATCCTTCTTGCCGTCGCTCTCGATGGCCACTCTTTGGAGCCTCGAGTCGCGGAGCGTGACCCCTCCCTGCGTGGCCTACCTGAGCCCGGCTGGACACTGGAGCAGCATCCCCGGTGCCTTCGGAGAAAGCGAGTAAGCTCCTGCTGTCTTATGAATCAGCACGGAGACGGCTTTCAAACAGAGCGCTTTGCGTCCTGTGGCGCCGAGCGAATGAAGCCTCAAAGCGGCCACGGCACATAAGCCGACACCCACAAGGCCCAGGCCTCGGCTGGCGTTCTGATTTCGGCTTCGGGTCCAGAAGACATTTTAGGCACTAGGAAGGGCTCCACGATAAGAATGCATGAGTTTGGTGGAAGCATGGCACGGCAGTGCGTCGAGGCAGTAAGGTGTTGGACCAGGGCGGGTTGTGGAGACGTGATGTGGCATGTGACGCGCGTATGTTTGTGTGTGTGTGTGTGCGCGCAAACCCTGTTTCTAAGAGTCTTCACTTGACGGTCTTTTCACAGTTTGTCGTCATTTCAGCAGAGCATCTGCTGTTTGGTTGTCAGCAGCGGGGCAATGATTTGCATTGCCCAACGAAAACCACACTGTTGGAGTGTGATATCAGGAAAGACGCTCTTTTGACGTACCTGCAGTGATTGCTTGTGAGATACGTGCCTTCGCTGTACATGGTTCATCATCGCTGTTGGTTTGCTGTCACCGACATGAGAGTGTTCTGGATGGCTGGGGCTAAGCCGAGGACCCCAACCTCGACCGTCAGTGTTAGACAGCAGTGGAACAACCACTGCATGTTTGCCGCAATCTGACAACAGGTAGAGGCCAGACGTTGTGGTTTCG